AACCTAGTCTGATGAACTTTCTCCTAGGATCAAAATCTTAGTCTGATGAATCTTTCTCCTAAGATAAGAAGACTTAGTCTGATGAATTTTCTCCTAGGGTAAACGTCTTAGTCTGATGAATCTTTTTCCTAAGATACCAAAAAAACAAAACAAAAAAAAAAGAGAAAAGGACCTAGTCTGATGAATTTTCTCCTAGGATTAACGTCTTAGTCTGATGAATCTTTCTCCTAAGATAGAAAACCTAGTCTGATGAATTTTCTCCTAGGATATTTTGAAGAAAAAAAAGAAAAAAAAAGTAGAGGAAGTTTGGATAAGAAAAAACGGGTCAATTTTTAGTTTTCTTAAGATTATCAATGTTTAGTTTTCCTGAAATCAGGGGGGCTGTCTGGAGAATAGGGTGAGTTTTTACTTTAGTCAAGCTTAGTTTATAGTTTTCCCAGTCTATTCTACTCTCATCATTGCATCAATAGTACAAGTGGTTTACAATTTTGCTAACAACTCACAAATCTTCCTAGTGCAAACTGGGGCAAAAAAATCTTTTGTTTTGTCTGTTTTGTTGTAATCAGGCGCCCACCTGGAGAACAAGGGAAGATAACTCAAGTTTCAAGGGAAAGCAGTTTTGAAGGAAGACAACTCAAGTTTCAAGGGAAAGCAGTTTCGAAGGAAGACAGTTCAAGTTTCAAGGGAAAATGGTTCAAGGTGTAAGGGAAAACAGTGTCAAGTAACAAGAGAAGACGGTTCAAGTTCAGCAATAAGGCGCCCACCTGGAAAAAAAAAGAAGGGGGAATTCAATTCAGAATGCAATTCAGGTCAGCAGTCCAAGATGATCAACAGAAGTTAGTCACAATCCAGAATAAAAAGAAAAAAACAAAGACAAGAAGTGAATCCAAATGCAGAAGTTAATAAAAGATGTGAGCTGCTCAAGACAGAGCTGAGGTCACAAGCTCTGCATGTCCCGTCTTGGTTTGAAAAACTCAAGAAGATTGAACCAACACCTGCGGGTAACAAGCATTAAGATTCAGATCAGAGTCCGCATGAAGAACCAACCAAGACTCAAGATCAAACTTCAGAAGACTCATAGATAGGAATCTTGTAACTCGTAGCTGATAGGCTTAGTTAGCCTTTTTTATTTTTGATTTTGATGTAATAACAGGACCGCGAACCGGAACCTCAGCGGAACGGCACCTCGACCGGCTCTCCACCTCGGCACACTCCATCATCTCACTCACCTCTGAACTACACGTGGCCTGATTCTTTTATAGCCAAGGATATGTAGGCAGCTCAGATACCAGGGCTCGGTCACATTTCCCTTTTCTCTTAGTTTTAGTCTCTCCAAATAAGGGTCGGGTCAAACAACTTGTCTAGTCGTTCTTTGTCTGAAAATACTTCGTCTTTCCAGTCAAAGAGGGACAGTTGTAGACATGTGATTTTTGACCCTCCCCGAAATTTCACCCATTTTAGCGTAAATATTTAGTTTAGGCCTAATATCGTTATTTCAGCTAATTTTGACTCTTTTACTTTATTTTATTACAAGAAAATAAAAATTACAAAAAATAGTTTCATTAATGTTTTATAGTCATTTTTTTAATCTTGAAAAAAAAATACCAAAAAATAGTTTTGTTTTAATAGTCAGTCTTATTTTAATAATTATTTTTACTTAAGTAGGGCTAATTAATATTTTTGATAATATTTCTATGTGGATAAATTTTTAGTTAATTAAGCTAATTTTAAGCATAGCTAGTCATAAAGACCCAAATTTCTGGCCCATTCCTTAAGTCTAATAACCATTAAGCTAACCTTAGGGACCCTTCTAGACTCTTCTTTGAAACAAAAATAAATAAAAGAGACCCTAAGTACTTAACACAAAAAGACCTAGGGACTAATTGGCAAAATACACAAAATAATAACCTAAACCTAGACTCTACATAAAGAGAACACCTAAAAAATCTGGGGGGAGAGACGAAAATACACACAAACAAACACCTAAAAACTGGACGGATCCGTCGTTTCTTCAGCCACAGACACACAAAAACAGCAAGAAACCCACCTGCTGACATTCATTGTCCTTCCTCCATTTTCAGTAGTCTCAGCTATGAAAAACCCATGAAGATCTCCATTTTTCTCCCTACAAAATCAGCAACATTCCCTATCACCTAAAGTCCAGCCGAAACTGCCCGGAAAACTCCATTTCCGGCCACGGAAGTGAGCTAAAAACTAGATCTAAAGCCACTATAGTTGCTGCCCGGAAACAACCATTAAACCCCATTTAGAACGCCTTAAACCAGTCCCCATTTTCCGAATCGAGTTTGTCGCATGGCTATGTTTCGAGCCTGAGCTTTCCATTGGAGCTCAGAGAAAATTCCCTGTTGGTTGAGTTCGTTTGTTGCTCATCTTAGTCGTTGCCCCGTTTGCTCTGTCGAGTTGCAAATTTAACTTTGGATTCATCTTTAAGGTTAGTCTCGTCCCTCCGTTTTTCTTGCTCCGTTTTGGTGTGATCATGTGGATCCGTTGATATGTGACTATCGAATGGCTGCTTTGTTCCAGTAATATGTCAAGACTAGTTGCTGAAATTGAATAAGTAATCGGTTACTATTTTGGAATTTCACTGATTAATGACAGTCAATGGACACTCTTCATTTTATTGAATTCGTCTTCGCTGAGTTCGAAAAGGTGAAAATTAAGAACTGAGTAAAACATGAATTTGTGATGATTTGAGCTTTTGGATGAATTTTCATTTTGCTTTATTAGTTTTTGTCTTGAGGTCCATGTCCCTACACTTTCCAATTTTAGCGACCTTGTCTGCTCATAATTTTATTTGACTGATTATGTGAGTTGATGCTCTTTAGTTTGCTCTTGGTACGATTCTGTGTTTATATACTTAATTTTATGTAAATCGCCTGAGTTTAAATTAAATAGTTTGTGGTTGATATATCATTTTATGGTGTGTAGCCTTAGCGGAGTTTACTGTGTTTTGAGCAATTGCTCCATGTAGTTGATAACAGGAAGGTGACTCAAGTCTTAAGACACTCTTTTGGTAAAAGAAGATGTTTCGAAATTAAGATGCAAGAATATAAGTTGGAAAATTGACGAGAAGTAATAGGCTGTGCGATTTGTGGGCTAAAAATGAAAAAGGATTAGACTAAAGTGATATTGGGATTAAGTAACGATGTCAATTGAATTTTGTAATGATTGGAGTTGTACGTTGTTTAGACCCTGCTTATGGTTTTGGATCCTTAGGAGCATGCTTAGGCCTTTAATATTCATAAAAACGCGTAATTGCTTTAGGCGCGTTATTTTAATAAATTAACTTCCTAAACTCGGGTGCGCATTTATGTGATCCAAATCCGAATCCTAACAATGTTATATAAAATATGTTGCGGACTGCGGGTGCATTTATGTGACGTGGTTCAAGACGCGTTTTAGATGACGTTGAATCTTTCTAAAAAATATCTAAATAAAAGCGGTTTTAAAGTGAAAAATGCACATAGGTTTTAAAGTGTTTTAAGATAAGATAATAGGCTAATTATAATAGTTGAGCGACCGTGCTAGAACTACGAAACTCGGGAATTCCTAACACCTTTTCCCAGGTTAACAGAATTCCTTACTCGGATTTCTGGTGCACGTACTGTTAAACAGAATCAATCTTTTCCTCGATTCGGGATTTCAACCGGTGACTTGGAACACCATAAATCTCCCAAGTGGCGACTCTGAATCTTTTAACAATATCCCGTTTCGATTGTCACTTAAATTGAAAAAACTCTCTATACATCCCTTTATGCGGGTGTGGTGAAAAGGAGGTGTGACATAGCTCATTTTTACATTTTTTGTCTTTAAATTTTTAATTTATTGATTTTTCTTTTTAATGTATAATTAAGTGATGTTTATAATTTTTGTAATTAGGTAACTAGTTAAATTCCACTTTTTAGATTAATTTGGGATTTTTCTTTTTAATTAAAAAAAGAGATTAAAAATATAATAAAAGAATGAGGGAAAATGATTTTAAAGGGGGTCTAGCACACTTGGGCTGCGCCCGTAAACCCTCAGCCCAAATACTCCCCCATCCCAGGAAGAACCAGACCAAACCCGCTCCACCGACCCACCCGTTTCCCCTTCATATATAAAGCCCTCATATAAAATTTCCCCTAAAATACAAACCCTAATCCTAGATATAGAAATGGCGCCCCACTGTACTATTCATTATCTTCCTCGTCAAACTCGATCCTCAACTTGCCTGAAACTCAAGCGAGTTCACTCAAATGGGTCCCCCTCCTCTCCACGTCACTTTATTCCAACGATTTCTGTCAGAGAAGGAAGAATATTCGTGAATTTGCATGATTTGTGTACTATGGAGCGATTTACTAGATGAATAGGAGTCATGGATGGATGTAAATCGATCCATGCTTTCCATTTATCCCTAAAATCGTTCAAAAATGAGGGGATTTTTTCAGATTTTTGGGCAGAAGCTTTGAGATTTTTGAGGGTTATATATAAGGTGAGTTTTCTTGTTTAAGGGGTAGGAGAAAAAATCAGAGAAAGATCTAAGAAAAATTTTCGAAATTTGAGGAGATTAAAATTTTCTAGGGTTCTTGAAGTTGTCACTTTCTTCATGTCGTTTCTTTTTAGTTTGCTTCTCTTTAGAAAACACACAAAAAAGCACAAATGGTCTGAGTTCATTTTCATTCGAGTTTACTTCATTTCAAGAGAAAATTTCAGAAAAAAAATTACTAAAACAGATTTCTTAGCATTTATTCTTTCTCTTGATTTCTGGTTCTCAAAAGGAAGCTTGATTAAAGTTTAAGTTGGAGTCGAGTTTGTGTTTCAAAATTTCAGTGTTGATTTGGTTAAAGTTCGTCGATTTCTGTTTCTTGTTGCTGTTCGTTTCAAGTTTTGAGTTGCAGCTTTGTTCGAGTCGGCTTAGATTGTTGTAATCACTGAAGTTTCGCTAATTGAAAGCTCTAATTACAAGTTCATCTCTTCACTCCTTCTTAATTTGTTCTGGTATTGATCAAAAATGTGATGATGGTTGAGACTTTGTTAGATTGGGAGTGTTTATGAGCTGGTTCATGAGAAACCAGCCTGTGATGCAGTTTTTTTATCTTGGCTCCGGACACATCTTCCTTATTCTATTTGTTCTGTGTGTTGCGATTCAGTCAGGTTATACTTGTGTTGCCTTGGTGTTTACTGGTTAATGGTGTATAAATTCATTTTGCATTACCATACAGAATTCATGTCTGTTCTTAAATTGATTAAAATTTCCAAACGTTGAATGCTAAGGTTGAGTATATTCTGGATAAGCCAACAACTTTATAAAACATGAGCGTCACACAAATTTTAATAAAATACACTAACTTTCACAAGCAGCTTGTATTTAGTTGATATCCACATTGACCATCTAAGAGCTACTGTTGATGTTAGCAAGTAGTTAAGAAAAAACATTTAAGACGTGAATCATGATTCTTTTGATTGCATCTGAAGTAAAAAACATCAATGGTGAATAATGAAACAAAACTGGAAAGTAGAGAACAATTTGAGCAGTTAGTTTCACTGATTTTCTTTGAGCTCAAAATGTACCTGTGAGAGAATGCAAAGTAGTGACTACATCAAAAAAGAATTGTTCTAGAGTTAACTTTCTTTTCTTTTTAATGTATTGACTATATGTGTATGGTGAATGTGATATCAGGAAATGTGTGTCTTCTATAACTATTACTCCTTGTTAAGTCATATGTAACTGACTTGTTATGATATCAGTAGATTTACTTATGTTTAGATGTAGTTTAAATATTTTCTTTTGTACAGTTTTGTTGCTTATACGGCCCTGCCATCCAAGAGAACAGAGTGATTAATTTTTAGGCTTGCATATCACTGTTGAAATGCATCTATCTTAGTGTTTCACAAAAGAATGTGTCACACATAGGATTAACAAGATGACTGAAGTTGGTTAAAACTAAGTCAAATTGAATGTTAGTTTAAAGTCATTTACCTGCTACATGCTAATATTTTCATATAACCGCAATATCAAGTTAGTAGTAATTTTAATGGTTATTCATTCAGGGTACAGCGTTTTACTGGTTATGGCATTGTATCTTTTTTCTGTGATCTCTTACTTTAGGCCCTAAGTTCTAGCCTGATAGCTTGTTGAGTTAATTAATTGTCATGGATGATATAAAGGGTTCCAATTGACCCCACATTGCCTTAAAATTTTGGTTTGGACGTTCATATGCTTCAAGTCACGTTTTTTTATTGATTGATTCTTCTGGTTGGTTTTGCTTAATAGAGCAGGGATGGCTATTGTTAATGGAATGTGTAGTTTTAATTGGCAATTAAAAAGAGACATTGAATCATTAATTTGGCCTGAACAAGCTAATCGTCCAGTTTGTCCCTTACTAATTTATTTTCGCCAAATATAATTCTAAATAGAAGGAAGTTTCTATGCGTAGCTTGCTTTAGGCGCATAATTAATTCATTATAACTACGGGTACGTTTCCCATGACGAGGTTGTGATAACTAGTTTTAAATTAGATTAAAAATAGGAGCACCTTAATTTTGCCCCCTTTAAAATATATACCCATTTTTTTCTTAAAACAATTTGAGGTGTGCCACGCTTAAAACTATAATACATGGCCCTCACGAAATTAGATCAAGAGCTAATCCTTTTAGAAAATAACTTAAGGTGCGTCATACATAAATAAAATCCTACAATCTATGGCCCTCACATAAATATAAAATTAGTATAGAAATTGCCTTGAACTTTCGTAGTTTGCTTTAGGCGCGTTAATTAAATAATTGCCATAGCTATGGGTACGGTTCCTGTGATGTAGTTGTGACGCTTAATTACTAAAATCTGGGGGTATATTTATGTGACCCGGCCATAATTTAATCTTCAAAAATTAAACATATTGTAGATCGTGGGTACGGTTCCCGTGATATGATTCGCAATATGTAACGGTAATTATTAAAAGTGATTATAGAGTTTAAAATGCACCGTATGTTTAAAACATGTAGTAAATAAGATAATAGGCCAATTAAATAGTTTAAGCAACTATGCTAGAACCACGGAACCCGGGAATGCCTAACACCTTCTCCCGAGTTAACAAAATTCCTTACTTAGAATTTCTGGTTCGCAGGCTTTTAAAATAAAGTCGAAATTTCCTCGATTTGGGTTTTTAAAATAAACCGGTGACTTGGGACACCAAATAAACTATCCCAAGTGGTGACTCTGATAATTTAGATAATCCCATTTCGAATAATGTCACCTTAATTGGAAAAAACTCTCTTATATACCCCTCGGGTGTAAAAGGAGGTGTGACAACTATGGCGACTCTGCTGGGGAACAAAACCCAGAACTTCGGTTCAGGGTTCAAGAATGTGAGCTTAGAATAATTTTTATAATTGGCTTTTATTTATTATCTTATTTTTATTGCATGTTTGGGCCTAATGTGCTAAATATCGCTTTTTACCGCTTTGATATTATTTGAACTGTATATAAACTGTTACGAAACCATTCTCTTCTCATCTTCGGGGATGTGCACTCTGGAGTGACTCCCCTTTCTGTTAGTGTCATACCTTAAATAAGAAAGAAGCTCAGACAAGTTACAAAGTCGAATGGCCTTTTGGTTCCCGGTACGTAGCCCCCATCGGCTCGAGTTGTCCGTTCGGGTACACCAAGTCTAGAACAATATACCCAGGTTTTAAACCTAGAATAACTTAACCTCATGTTGGATCCCTAATAGGAACATTTGTTTGCATCATGTGCATTTGACTTTGGGGACTCAACACAGGGGTTGGGTCCGTCTAGGATAGGTGGACCCCATAATCAAAAGACCATCCTAATTAATATTTTATGTGCTACTTGTACAATTATTTTCTTCGGTTTGCATATTGACCGGTTGCTAGAATAGGGAGGAAATTGGGAAAAATAAAATTGAGGTATGAGAGAAAATAACCCACCTTTGAAAAAACCTGTTGTCCAAAGTATACCGAAATTCTGCCGAAATTTTGAAAAAAAAAAGAGAAAAGGAAAATGGTTTCAAAACATTTTATTATGTCAAAACTGACTGAACTACGCAAGTTTGATTCTCACCGGATGTGGGATACGTAGGCAACCCTCAGCGGGTCCAACTCTATTTTTTACAAAAATAACCCAAAATATGAATTGTTGTTATTTTGTCATAAATAAAACTAGGTGATGTCGTTCTTGTCTAAATAGCCCAAAATATCCCCAAAAGGACGCCGGAAGGCTGTTTTTGGAAGAATAACCACCTATTACCCTTTTTCAAATTTTTGGCTATCTAGCAAGACAGTCCTAAAATCTTCCTTTGCAAAGTGTAGAAGGGCCGTATTTGCAAAAGTAGCCGTGTTGTTTAAATTTTTGCAAAATTGACCACTTTTATAAAATTCGCTTTGTTTTAAACCAATCACCTTAATTTAAATGTGCAGAATGAGCACGAGTCAAAACCTGCCAATGAAAGTCATGACCAAGATTCCTTTGGAACTGTATATGTGGTGGGAAGATCTGGGTAAATCAGGACGAGATGTGGTCAACCTTTACTTGGGGGGTCTCACAGGTTTATTGAAGATCAGGCTTAGAGGAGACATAATAAAGGTACTGGTTACGTTTTGGGATCCAGCTCACAACGTGTTTCATTTCTGGGACTTTGAACTCATGCCCACTTTAGAAGAGATAGTCGATTATGTTGGGAGTACCGAAGCTTTGAGATATAAATACTTGGTTGCTCCAAGAGCCGTCACTCCGCACAAGTTTCTAGATTTGCTAAAGATAAGCAGGGGGTCCAATACCCAGATTTGGCAGCTGGTTTTTCCACTCTGCAGTTCATATACTAGTGATACAGACACATAAGGGGGCTCGACAATTCAGAAAGCAAAATTTGCAGCAAAGGGAATCAACTAAAATGGGAAGAACGTAGATGCTTCGTTTTCATGGTGGTATTTCTGGGTCTTCTAGTGTTTCCTAGGAAAGATGGGAATATCGACGTACGGATAGCCGGGGTTGTCAACACTTTGCTTACTCGGGCCAAAAGCACCCTCGCACCCATGATAGTGTCTGAAATATTCCGAGCTCTCACAGCCTGCAAAGCCGGAGCTGACTTTTTTGAAGGGTGCAACTTGTTGCTACAAATGTGGATGATTGAGCATCTATGCCATCGTCCTCAGTACATGAACTATGGGTCGATGGGAGAAAACTGCATAGAGAAGTTTGATACAAGGGTCTACGGGTTCAACATGCCAGAATAGGTCGCAGAATGGATATCTTGCCTCCGCTTCTTTACTGCAAATCAAATAGAATGGGCGTTGGGTTGGCTTCCTATTGATGAAATCATATACATGCCAGTCACCGGTCCCCACTTCCTACTGATGGGTCTCAGAAGTATCTAGCATTATGCCCCATACCAAGTTTTGAGACAGCTAAGGAGATGTCAAATAGTGCCCAAGGATGAAGACCTTAACCTTCATGTGGTCGAGATTCGTTCCGATGGCCAGTTTCACAAAACAGTGGTTCGCCAGATTTGGAGTGAGTGCCAATATTTGACGGCAAATACCCGAGTACGTGATCTATCCAGAGGTGAAGTCTCACCCGGTTACCTCGTCTGGTACCGAAGGAAAGTCGAGTTTGGAAGGCTAGCTAAAAAACCCCACCTCCAAGAGTTTGTTGAAGCATAATAGTGGGAATGGTTGATAAAAGAAAATGAATATCGGGCCACTATCAGCAGGTTAGAAGGGCAGATCAGAGACCTTAAGTTCGATAGTGATGTGCAAACCATTGCGGATGAGGGTGAGAAGAAAAAATTAGCCCAAGAAAATGAAATCCTCTAGGCCCAGATCCAAAAGATGAAGATAGCTGCTGAGAATCCAGAAAGAAGTCGAGCAGATGAAAGACTCATTAATGGCCTCAGGAAGAAAATATGTGAGTACGGGGATGATTTAGAAAAATCCGAAGGCAGTTTGGCAAGAGCTCAGGCATAGTTGGCAAAGAACGCCGAGGGAAGGGCAGAGTTTTTCGACAATTAAAAAGGAAATACGATGGAGAAGTCACAAACCTAAAGAAAAAGCTGACTACCATTGAGAATGAGATGGCTAAACAAGCCAAAAGCTTCAAAACTAAGAGAGAACATTGCTACGATTTGATGGCACAGCTAGAGGGAGACCTACAACATTTACAAGAATAGAATCATACAGCCACCCAGGTCTTAGAGGCTAGATCTCAGCAGATTGGGTGTTTGTTGCAAGAAAAGGGCATCATCAGGGAAAGGGTTAGCAGAATCGTCGACTATATTGTGATGAAATGCAACAAGTATGAGGACATGACCAGGTCCATGTTCTTCGCCATAGTAATGATATTTTTCCGCCAAATAATGGAGGATCTCTATCGCCTCTAGGATGACATGGGGCGTAGGCCCGCAGCAAGACCATTTGGTGTTCCTAGGACAGGATTGGAGGCACTGATGTACTCCTGATTGTGTTTTCTTTTTCGAGTCTATATTTTTATTCCCTAAAGTTGGTTTCGAATATGTATTAAGTTTTTAATTCTCAAGTACGTAGGATCGAGTCTTTGTAAGAGATAAAAATTAAAGGTCTTGTTTTAATGAAAATTTGAAGAAAAAAACAAAATGTTTTATTTATTTTGCATTTTATTTCTTGAACTACGTGATGATATGATTCACGCGACGTCGTGATATGTAGGCAATCCTCATCGGATCCGGTCATAATTTTTTGTAAATTACTCAAATAAAAGAGTAATGTGGAAAAGAGAAAACCAAAAGAAAAGAGAGAAAACAAGGGAAAGAGAATGAGAACAAGAGAAAAAATGAGAGTGCAAAAGAGAGCAAGAGAGAAAATAGGGGAGGTAAATAAAGCTGGGATGAGACATGCAATCGTTGCAAAACATATAGAAACACATTTAACTGTATAGGTGCATCACACCCCAATGTGCGATTTCCTATGTATTAATTGCTTCAAACTAACCGGTTTGTTGTCTACTGTTGAGTATAGGTTCTATTTTTTTAAAGGTGGTTGGTTTGTGGTAATCTGGCTTCACACCCATACTTTACAAGATCCAAGGGCAGTGTAAAAATGTCATCAGAAGGTCATCCCCCAACAATTCCTATCTCAGAGGATAGCCCACTATCGGATATCCCAACCTCAGAGTCAGCGGTAACTGAAGAGAACAGGGCACTACGCCTCCGAGTGCTGGAAATGTGGGACGCCTGGTCTAATGGGAGAGATCCGCCAAGTGCCATACCCGGTTTCCCCGAGCTACTTCCCAGAGCAAGTGGAAATTCCAATGTCCCAATAAATTACCCGAATACCCCACTTAGATACCCCACCATCTCAGCTCACTTCACTGGAACACCTTCTGAGGTTCGCCCCCAGGTAGTTTCGGGAGTAACCTCCAATATATTTACCGCACCACCAACCTCGGCTGCAGTACAACCAATTGTGCCCAGGCCAAGCTTTGATCCATCATCATTCACTTTCCAAGTACCATCTTTTCTACCAGAACCTACCAATTTCACCACTAATTCTTACCCTCAACAACCCCGGTACGAGTTTACTGCGGGACAGGAGAAGGCTACAAAGAACCTCGAGCAGGATGAAATCACTCAGAAGATGAGGAGCATGGAATAGAGCCTTAAGAATATACAAGGCTTGAGAGAACAAAAGAGTGTATCATATGCTGATTTATGTATGTTCCCGCACGTGCATTTGCCCTTGGGTTTTAAGACCCCAAAGTTCGAAAAGTATGACGGGCACGGCGATCTCATAGCCCACCTTAAGAGATATTGAAATCAATTAAGAGGGGCAGGCAGAAAAAAAGAGCTCCTAATGGCTTATTTCGGAGAGAGTCTAATTGGAATTACATCTGAGTGGTACATGGATCAGGACAGATCTCGTTGGCACATTTGGGATGATCTGGCTCGAGATTTTATCAGGCAGTTTTAGTATAACATAGACATAGCTCCCGACAGGAATTCTCTGTCGAATCTCAAGAAGAAGTCATCGGAAAGTTTCCGAGAATATGCTGTTAAATGGTGCGAACAAGTGGCCAGGGTCAAGCCCCCGATGGATGAAACGGAAATGGTTAGTGTTTTTATACAAGCCCAAGAGGCTGACTACTTTCAGAATATGATGTCTGCAATGGGGAAACCATTTGCTAAGGCCATCAAGATTGGTGAGATGGTCGAGAATGGTTTGAAAACAGGGCGCATATTGAGCCAATCTGCCATAAGAGCTACATCCCAAGCAATTCAAAGCGGGTCTGGAGGTGTAGCAAACAGAAAGAAGAAAGAAGAGGTGGCGATGGCAACTTCAAGTCTGAGAAACCCCCGTCCACCCAGAGGTTACTTCCCTCCAAGAACCCCACAACATTATTATCCTCATCGGGATGTGGCCTATGTTATGGCTCCTCAGCCATACGTAGTAATGAACGCCCAGCCATATGCTCGGTCACAACAATAGTTTAACCAAAACCGAGCTCAATTTCCTAGAAATAACCCTCCTCACTAAGCTCAGTATAATCCCCGACCTCCACAAAATAACTTCCCCTACAATGCCCGTGCTCGGGAGCCATCCAGAAGAACAAACTTCATGCCTATTGGTAAATCATACTCTAGCCTTTTCCCTAAACTGGTCCAAATGGGTTTGTTGCAACCCGTACCCCAAACCAGGCAAAACCCAGAGTCGCCCTCCTACCAACCCGGTGCTCGATGTGCTTACCATTCGGGAGCGGAAGGGTATGACACTGAAGACTGTTGGACTCTTAAAAGGGCAATTGAAAAATTTAATAGAACAAAAGAGAGTAGTGCTGAAAGATGAAGAGGTCCCCAATGTGACCAACAACCCATTGTCGGCCCACAACAATGTGCCATTTATTGGGATGCTTTGTGAAGATAAAGAGTTTGACCCATCCCTGAAAGCCATCATTGCCATAGCCGATGTGGAAAAGAAGCCAAAGGCTGCCGCAAAGCTAGATAAGGGGGAAAAGAAGAGTAGCTCCACTCCTCGAAGTGAAGAAAAGATTGCGGAAAACAAAACAGTGGCAGTGCCCCCTAAAGACGCCATTCTTTATGTTCCCCAAGCTTAGAGGAAAGAACAATTGGCGTTGAGTCCTCCTAAGAGGTTCGAGTTGAACAAGGGGCCCAAGATTTATGTACCCAAAGGAACTTATGTGGTGCAGGGACCAGTGATACCACCTAGGCTGAACGAGCCCGTGGTCATTAGTCGCGCACCACAAAGGCCTATGAAAGACCGCACTGCAGTCCCTTGGAACTACAACAGAGCAATTGTGATATACAAAGGGAAAGAAATTGCATGGAAAGTATATGAAACTAACACATCTGGGAGGTACCTCAATCTGGAGGAAGTAAACAATGCCAAGTAGAAGCGCTTCCCGCTCAAAAAGCCAGTTAGTGCCGAAGAAGCAGAGGAATTCTTTCGTAAAATGAAAACTGCGGACTATGAGGTGATAAACCAACTCCGGAAGTCTCCTTCACAGGTCTCACTCTTGTCTCTACTGGTCAGCTCAACTGAGCATCAGAAAGTGTTGATAAAAACCCTCAATGAAGCTTATGTTCAAATTGAAACCACTGTGGAACAACTAGAGAGGATGACAGAAAGATTCTTTGCATTCAATCAGATTTCCTTTAGCAAGAATGATTTGCTCCCGGAAGGGGCCGCCCACAACAAAGCCCTTCATTTGACAGTTAAATGTGAGGAGTATTATGTGAAAAGAGTCATGGTGGATGGCGGATTGGGGGTCGACATATGCCCCCTCTCAACTTTGCAAAGAATGGAGATTGGGATTGAGAGAATCAGGCCTAACAATGTATGTGTGTGTGCCTTTAATGGCATTGTAAGCACGTGATTTTTGACCCTCCCCGAGAATTTTCACATTTTTAGCGTGAATATGTGAAATTGGGTCTAGTATAGCTATTTTAACTATTTTTTTACTTTATTTCGTTGCAAAAAGAAAAATTTCAAAAAATATATATATAAATTTTAGTTTATGTATTTCTCATAAACTTGAAAAATAAAAATAAAAATTGTACTTTATTTTGGTACTTTATATAAATTCGAAAATTACAAAAATATAGTTCTATTAATGTTTGCAGTCATTATAATTTTGAAAAAATACAAAAAATATTACGCCATATTTTTGTCTTTATTAAAGAACGAAAATTACAAAAAATAGTTTTATTAATATTCTATAGTCATTTTTAACTTTGAAAAATACAAAAATATTACCTCATATTTTATCTTAATATTTAAAAATGAAAATTGCAAAAAAATAGTTTTATTAATATTTTTGTAGCTATTTTAAATCTTGAAAAATATTTAAAAATATATAGTTTTGTTTAAATACTAGTCTTATTTTTGGTAGTTATTTTGCTTACATAGGACTAGTTAAGCAACGTGTTCCTATTTCACGGGTCCGGGCAAAAGAATAATATTCGGGTTCAAACTACCCGGTTTTAGGCCTAATTTTCGGACCTAGCCCATAATAAACCGTGTCCAGGACACGTGGGGAACCCCACCACGCGTGGGGGACATATGCCTTGAACCCCACCACGCGTGGGGCTCATTTTCATGGGCATTGTATTACAAAAACACGAACAGAATTTGAAAAGAAGGGGACCAACGAAAACGGACTGTGGAGAATTTTGAAAACATATACTACTGTTCCTCTTTCTTCTTAAAAAAGAAAAAAGGAAGAAAACTCCAGGGGCTCCCATCGCCAAAACCTCCAGGCAACCACCCTCCTCCGACCAGCCTCCTCCATCGCCTGAAACCACCCACATCCATAACCAGTCCGTCACCTTCTCCAGCACCCCCCTCGAACACAAAAACCACCGGACCCCCTAACCGTCGTCCTCTTCTTCAACTCACCAANCTAATGTTTGCAGTCATTATAATTTTGAAAAAATACAAAAAATATTATGCCATATTTTTGTCTTTATTAAAGAACGAAAATTACAAAAAATAGTTTTATTAATATTCTATA